TACCTTTGGATGAAAACGTCCTCCATTTCACGAGGGAAAGTATTGCAAAACTCAAAGCAAAAGCCAATGCTGAGGTTGGTTCTAACAAGATCTCTTCTCTCCAAGCAGTCTTAGCTCATGTTTGGCGATCTGTTTACCGCACGAAACAACTTGACCCCAATGAAGAGATTTCTCATGGACTGGCGTTTAGCGTAAGACCAAGATTACGATCCATGCCACAAGAATACTTTGGAAATGCTGTGCAATTTGGGGGTCTGACACTGAAGGCGAGGGAATTACTAGAGGGAGGACTTGGTAACGTGGCGTTGCAAATGAACAGAACGGTTGCTGCACAAACTGAAGAAACTATGAGCAATTTCCTCAGGTCATGGCCAAAAAGCCCTGTGTTAATCACGCCGGGCATGGTCAACGCAGTAAATGGCTTGTTCGGAATTGGTTCACACCGATATGATGCATATGGAAATGATTTTGGATGGGGAAGGCCAATTGCATTACGAAGCGGATCAGGGAACAAGTTGAATGGGATGATGGTAGTGTGCCCTGGGGTCGAAGATGGAAGTATTGAAATCGAAGCTTGCCTTCCGCCCGAGACATTGCATGCCTTGGTCAATGATCAAGATTTCGTGGGTGCTGATGATCATGAGTTCCATGCTCTGGAGATGGTGGGTTGATCTTTGGTCGAGTGGAAGTCAGCCGGCCTGCTTGGTGTTTGAAGCAACCCAACTCCTTTCTCGTTTCTCCTTCCCCTCACCCTTAACTAGTAGGTTTTTTGTTTTAAGATTTCGTAGGTGCTGTAGTTATCTACTTACTAGTTTTTATGCAAAAATGTTGCCTATACAGGTCTTTGTTTAATTTTTGCATGCATGGTTGTAATAAGATTACGTTGCATGCTCGTGTTGTACTTGTAACAATATACGGTTGTCTTTTATCCAAAAAAAAAACAGATTTTGTATCCGTTCTCAGGAGAGAGAGAGAAAAAAAAAAACAGTTTTTGTATGTTCTGTTGAACGTTTCTGTCGTGTCTATAGTTGACTCAAATAAATATGTATTTTACAATATATATCTCCATGTTGATCTTTTCTTTTAAATTTTTTAATGAAAAGTAAGTAAAAACTCTATGATATTAATTATACGACGTATAAGTAAGATTTTGTCAAAATCTCAATTTCAAAATATTCAACCGTTTAACCTTAAAACTCACTACTAACTAAAAAAAATATTTCAAATTTAACAAGTACAAATTTTTGATTCCTGTATCACATCAAAATGATCTATTTCTGTTTGACCAAATACCGAGTAAAAAGTGGTCCTATATTATTTTTAGTAAGTATGAAGTATGCTTTAGGTTTTAACCAAAAAAAGTGTATATTTTAGGTACATCCCATTTTCTTGAAATAGCAAGTATGGTTACAAGCCAAGTCTTAGGCAATTATGCCCAAAATTATTTTTCAGAGCAATTAATTAATTATGGGCTCAAAAAAGGTATTTTGAGTCCCTAATGATTTAAGCAGCTCAATTATTATTAATTATTTTTTCTGTAAAAATAAAAGATTATAAACTTGAATACCATGATATTTAAGTGTGAAAGGTAACTAGATAAAAAAGAATTATACCATATTATATAATACAAAATCGCAAAAAGGTATTAGGAGTATATATTTAAGTAACCCAAAATAAAAATAAATAAATAAATAAATAAATTTAAATGGTTTTACGAGTAATTGGTACTTAATTATTCAAAAAAAAAAAAACTCTCTCTAGTCCTTTTTAGTTAACCTAGTCCCTTAACTTTATATAAATTAATTCGATGATATTATATAACAAATGAATAGTAATTGAAAATTTTTTTTATCTATAGAAAGATATTTAACAAGAAAACTACATATAAAAAAATTAATATTATTTATTTATTATATAAAATTATATAATAAATTTTATTTAAAAAATTAAATTAAGACAATTAAATTCAACAAAAGAAAGTTATTTTACTTAATTATCATCAAGCGTCAACCAATTCAAATCCGGACTGGCTCAAATACCCAGCTGGTTCACCCTCTGGACTTTGCAAAATCTGACTCCTCCCTCTCTTACACGGTTACACCCATCTCAACTTGTTTCAAAACATTCGGATAACAAAAATATGTATCCGCCGTTCAGGTTTGACATTATCCATTGAGAGTTGAATTTACTTGGTTTATTAATTGTTCGGCTTTTTGTTACAGAATCCATTATTGATTTGGTATTCATCCTTCGGCTTGAACCGGTGATCCGCTTACATGTTACCTGTACCGGGTCAAAGACTATTCCCATTAATAAAAAAACAAAACCTCCTTAATCTTTTTTCCTTTAAAACATTAATGTCTCTTATTCTTATTGATTTTAGGGGTGGGTGTAGTTTGCTTTTGGTTGTAATTAAAATTAGATTAGCTGTTAATTAATTTTTTTAAGAGATGTTTTAGTGATTAGGATTTAGGAATTTAAATTTTCATATTGGATATTTTCAATTTAAATTTTAATATGGGTAAGGAGAGATTTGAAAGAGAAGTACAACATCTAATTTATTAAAAAAATTACTGGTTAATTAAATTTTGGGTACAATACTTTTAAAAATTATTAACCAAATAAAAAATATGAGTTTTATTAGTTTTAGTTAATTTTTTTAATGATAATCATTTGGTTTAATTTCAATTTTAATCAAAAAAATATTCTAAAATTTTTTGTGATTTTAAAATTTTTTAATTGTTATTTTATTAATTTTAATCACTTAAAAATAAATTTCATCTAACTAAAAAAATAATTTAGTAAAAAGTAACAAGAAGATGTAAAAATAATATAAAAATCATTAAATTTGTTTCAAAAGAGTTTTGGACTGGCTTTCTTACCACACAGTCAGCGTAGTTATTGGTCATTAATTTCTAGACTTAGCAACTAAAAGTTAAATTACTTTGCCAAA